GATCCGAGCACGTGCTGGGACTCAGGACCTAAGCAAGGCCAGCTGGGCGTGTCACAGTGTGACCCAATGACCTCAGAGTTCCCAGAAGCCTGGAGAATCCACATAAGCCACTGAGAGAGAGGATCAGCAAATCCACTTTTGGGGCAAAACCCCATGTGTCACAGGAAACAGTGACAAGCTGTCTCTACCACGTCTATGATTCTACAGAAATGGCTGAGCTTGGGACACGTGAATGCTTACCTTCCTCAGTCAGCCACGGACGTGGGCACTCCAGGGCAACACTTCTGTCAGGACGCCCTGGCACCTCAGGTCATCAAAGGAAAGGGTAAGGTCACCTATCTGTGGCCCCTGGTGATCTGTGGATGGCCATTCCACCTGGGCAATGTGGAAAAATCACAGATACATGTCAGAAATGTACCCGCATCCTCACATAACAAGAACCTTGCCAACCGTTCCCGGGATCAGCCTTGCATCTGCTTCATGTCACTTTATCACTTAGGCGTGACTGCAGGTGTGTGTGACAGCATGAGGGTACGTGGGCATGCCACTGTGTGTGTGCGTGGTTCTGCGCAGAGGACTCATCCCCTGAAGAACATCGCCTTGGTCAAGGTCCCTAATGTCATGTGCTGTTTCCCAACCAAGGACGATGGGACCTTCAAAAGAAAGGAGGCCATCTTTGACCTTAAACGTACTCTGCAATAGTCTACAGAGATTTCTTTTACAGGGACTCCTTCTGAACAATCACACCCTCTTCCTGACTGAGGATGTCATGTCAACTTGGACACTGTGTCCCTTCAAGCTGTCACATGTAAACTGACTTGACACCAGCGACAGGGGGAATAACGCTCACATATAGGTGGCACCAGTAGACCACTGGTCAACTTTCTCTGCCTTCATCTTCAGTGGCCAAAGGAGTTCAGGTATGGGCATCTTTGAGTTACCTCCACTTCAGGGGCCAGCAGGTAAGCCAACAGAAATTGCCCCTCGTCACCCAAATGACCCAGGGTAGAACCCGACTGATATTAGAGAACATTCTCCTCCAGGGTTCAGATGTGACCTCACCCTAAAAGATTCCAGGCCCCGACCTCTGTTGAAATATTCTGACACTCAGCCCTCTTGACCTAAGAAGCCCACAGGGCAAGGCCGTGGGAAAGTAGCCCTGATAGCTGCTCCTATGGGAGGCGCAGGGAGCCTCAGGAAGCACAGCATCAAAGATTGGATTTTGCATGAGTCCCCAGCTTAGGATAAAAGGTGACACACCCATGGCAGGTAATAGCACAACTGACTTCACAGAATGACAATGCGCCATTCTCCAAGACAAAAGCAAGACTTAAAGAAAACACATCTTCCACATTAAGTCATGTGGCCCTTTACCAGGAAACTCATCAGTCCCAGGCTGAGCATATAAAATCCCAGCCCTCCCGGGCTCTACCCCACTCACAGGTTTCCACGGATCAATCTGAACTACCAGGAGAGCCTGTAAGACAACTGTGCCAGGAAATCTGAAACTTCTGGGACAAGTACGTTGACCTTAAAATTACTGGCATTAGCATGGCAAAGGGTCAAAGAGAATGTTCCCTGAAGGAAGGTGACCCAGGGTTGGACTGCAGACCAGCTGTCATGGCCCTTGGACCTACTCAAGGTGCTAAATACAAAATCACTGAGTGCCACTACCATGCAATGGAGACGCCAAGTGACGACTTTCATCCTCCACAGCGCCACACACCAGGCCCTGAGCCTCCCCCTGGTGGCACCCACGGGCAGCCTCATCAGGGCCACTGAAATCCCCAGGAACCGCTGACTGCCATTGGGACAAACGGAGACAGGACGTCCCATGGAAGCCCATGGAATCACACTCTGACATGTCCTCTCAGCAACCTTCTGTTCCCATTCAGGCCATCAGCCACCACAGCGTCACCCCTTAACCACGTGGGACACCGTATTCCTGCATGGCGGCCATGCATACGGACTGGGCAACTATGATACAGGATGGAGCTACCAATGTCACCACCATGGTCTAATCATCTGTCCTTGGCTGTGAACACCTCATAGAACTCAGAAGTCCTCTCCAAGGAAAAGGCAAGATCCAATGTTGCTCCCTGAAGGGCCTGAGCTCTAGTCGAAAGCAACGGGAGCATTGCACTGGGTGCAGGAGCACAGACCATCAGGGATTATGGCAGAAGCAGGAACCTGGCCAACACAAATCCTCCCGGGCACTCCTGGGGACCAGGCACTGCCATGCTCTCTGAATCCGTGGACTAAATGGCTAGCAGCCACCACGCCAGGAAAGACTGACCATGCAAACAGATCCTTTGATTCATGGGCATGAAAGCACAGTTGGGAAGGGACCGACCTTATGGCAGAAGGCTCTGAACTGCTGACCCCTACATGGTGCTTGCAAGTGTGTGACCAAGGGAAGTTGTCCCTCACTCTTACTGTCCCTGGGGAGCTAAACATTCTGGACCTCAGATTCTATCAGAATGATGTAGAGTTCTCACTCATTTTGTTCAGCTTTTCCAAGGAATGCATGAGGGAGTCGCATCATTGATCTGAGCATGTGCTGGGATGCAGGACTGTGAGCAAGGCTGTCTGGAAGGGTCACTGGGTGACCCAATGACCTCAGAGGCTGCGAGGATCCAAATCCAAGCCACTGAGCAAGAGACAAAGTTCTCAGGTCTTGGAGGGGAACCTGAGAGGCATTCACGACATCCAAACGAGCTTCCTCAAGCAGCTCCAAGGAAATGAGAGGCTAAGGCAGCACTCAGACCACAGAAAGCCTTACCTTCCAAAGTCATCCCAGGCACAGTGCTCACTCAGGGACACACTTCTTCTGGGGCTCCCGGGAAATTCTGGTCATCCAGGGAGACAAAGCTCTTCTGCTCTTGGTGAATAAGAAACTTGATGTGAACCTGACCTGGGTAGTGGAGAGAAATCACATGCTCACTGGAGGAATATACCAAGATCTTCAGGTCCAATGTTCATATCAACCTTTCCTGCCAGTAGGCCTTACATCTGATGGTCACACACTTCTGTCCCAAGGAATGGGTGGTGATGGCATAGGTGTGATCAAAGGGAAGCTCCTTCCCTGGGGGAGTCAACGTGCTGGACCTCAGATCCGATGAGAACGACGGTATTGGAGTTCTCACTCATTTTGTTCAGCTTTTCCAAGGAATGCATATGAGGGAGTCATCATCGATCCGAGCATGTGCTGGGACACGGGACTATGAGCAACACTGGCTGCGCAGGTCACTGGGTGAACCAGTGACCTCAGGGACCTCAGCAGGCTGGGAGGATCCACATCCAAGCCATTGAGCAAGAGGAACAGTCATTCTCCTCTTTGAGGAGAACCCACATGCCAATCAGGACACCCAAATGAGCCACCTCAAGCAGCTCCCTGGAATCAGGGAGATGATGGTGGCACTTAGACCCCAGGTAGCCATACCTTCCTAAGTGATGCCAGGCACAATGCACACTCAGGGCCACACTTTTGGGACTCCAGGGAACTCTCCAGTCATCCAAGGAAGGAAAGTCCTTCTGTTCTCTGCCGGCAAAGAACCTTGCAATGCACTTGACCTGAGAAGTGGAGAGAAATCCCATGCTCATTGCAGAAACGTCCCCAGGTCCTCAAGTAACAAGATCCGTGTCAGCCTTTCCAGTGGAGGAGGTGTTGCATCTGATCATCACTTCTGTCCCTGATATATGACTGCAGGGGTGTGCGATGCCATGCGTGTGGCTGGGTGTTCAAATATGTATGCATGTGTTTGAGGAC